CACAGTCTCGGAGAGAGAGAGGGCTTTCTACTCCCCTAGAGAGTCACCGTCTCGGAGAGAGAGGGCTTTCTACTCCCCTAGAGAGTCACAGTCTTGGAGAGAGAGGGCTTTCTACTCCCCTAGAGGGTCACCGTCTCGGGGAGAGAGAGAGAGGGCTTTCTACTCCCCTAGAGAGTCACCGTCTCGGACACCCACAGGGCCAGTTCTTCCCTGCCCTATAGGGTTGCAATACATCTGAATTGACTCGATGAGTGGAATGTGGTTCTATTAATTTATTTAATTATTAACTTCCTGGCTACCCTCTCTTCCACCTTACCCCGATACCCATTAGAAAGAGATAAGGGACCTTACTCATTGCACCTAAGAACATGTCTGACACACAGTAAAAATATGGAAAGTAAATGAATTAAATGTTACTGAAAAGTCATTAGCCTTTATTTCTCAAAGAAAGGACAAAAGTAATATGCCCTTGGACTTTAATTTGCTTTTTCTCTTCATCAGAGAGCATGTGATGCAGTGTGTGTATGTGTGTGCGTGCATGTGCGCATGCACATGGGTGTATCAAACCTTATCTGCTCGGCTCCAAAGGGCTTTAGGAGGTGGTTCTCCAGTGACTGGGATCTCAAGACGAAGCTTGTTTCCTGCGATTACTGTTACTGTATTGTCCGCATCAAGACCATCCAGGATGATCTTAGGAGGGTCTGGAATAGCAAACAGGGTCTTCATTATCAGACAGTCATATTCGTATGAATACCTGGGCTAGTAGCCACTGCTATTTTGTCTGGCTGAAGGAGCAGAAGAGGGACCACGGATGAGCATAGGTCCAAAGTCTTTGGAATGTGTGACCGTGTAAAAGTACTTCATTGTAAGACTTCTAAAGACACTGTCTATGGTTAGTGATGGATGCTAATCAATATATTTTTTCTTTAAATAGCATATGCTTTGAATATAATTCCAAGGTAATAAAAAATGAACATCTAAAATGAGAACTCTGCAATGATTCCTTGGATGTACTCACCGATAACATGAACTTTGGCAGGCAAGGTCACAGAGTAGGCATCAGGTGCAAAGACATAATCACCTTCATCCTCTATGAGACAATTGGCTATCACTAACTTGTGGATTCTAAGAAAATGGGAAAAACATATGTCTTACATTTTGCAAAGACTTCGATTATACATTATGGTCTAATGGGAAGAGATATTTGGCCTTTTTCATACTATTGATTACAGTCTGGAAGAGGGGAAAGGAGGGAATAAGAGTGAGGGAATACAGAAAGGAACGTGGGTGAGGGGAGACGGGAAATGAGAGTGAAGCATTAATTATCCTAGATACTGATCCACATTTTGGATTATATAGAATTGCCACTGCAAAAGCAGCCCAATTATTAGGTCTGCAGGAATCTATTAGTCCTTTCTTCTCAGAGCTTAAAAAAAGAATACATCAATAATGCCACGCTCTGTAATTTCTCAAGACATTACAAAGTATACATAATCTTGACTTTGATTTGACTTGCATTTGAAGAGAAACAGTTTAAAAGCCCTTTTATTGGGGAGCTCTTACAGTTCTTATCACAGTCCATCCATCCATGTGTCAAGCACATTTTACATATGTTGCCATCCTCATTCTCAAAACATTTTCTTTATACTTGATTTCCCTGCCCTCCTTCTCTCCCTCATGAGCCCTTGATAATTTATAAATTATTATTATTTTCATGCCTTTCGCCAACCACTGTCTCCCTTCACCCACTTTTCTGTTTTTCATCCCTCTTGGCGGGGGTAACATGCGGATCATTGTGATCAGTCCCCACTTTATCCTCCCACCTTCCCCTTACCTTCCTGGGATTGCTACTCTCATTATTAGTCCTGAGGGGTTTATCTGCCCTGGATTCCCTGTGTTGCAAGCTCTTATCTGTACCAGTATACATGGAAGAGCAATAGCTTTTAATCTTACTGGGGCTTTGGACCAGTGACGATGTTATGGATCCTCTCTCTGGAGAAACCAGTCAGCCAATTAACCCAGTGTCACCAAGCCAATTCCAACTCATGGCAACCCTCATGCAGGGTTTCAGAGGCTGTGAATCCTTTAGGGAGCAGACAGCGACATCTTTCTCCTGATGAGTAGCTGGTGGGTTTGCACCATCATCAACCTTGTGATTAGACTATAATGCTTACTGGCCAGTGCCACCAGGGCTCCCTTCCTGGAGAAAGGTGTGCATTAATATTCACACAGGATTTCACGTACAGTTTCAGAGGATTTATAGGGTTCTTTTAAGTCAATGCATGGGGCCCATGGGGCCTCGGTTAAGAGCCCAGGCCAGAGATCTAAATTACAGCATATTCTGTTCCAAGGACATCACATTTGGTAGAAAGTCAGTGTAAATGAGGGGAACCTTCAATGAGATGGATTGACACAATAGCCTCAACAATGGGTTCAGGCATATCACAGGTCATGACAATGGCACCTGTTATGGTCCTGATACAACATTAGGTTGCTGTGAGATGGAAGAGACCGGTGGTAACTAACAACTTGCTCTTTTAAAACAATAGAAAACATGGGGGAAGGGAGACAGTGGTCATTGTGAGAGATGAAGATAATAACAATGTACAATCTATCAAGGGGTTATGAGGGTGGGGGAAGGGGGGGAAAGAGGAGCTGATACCAAGGGCTCAATAGAAAGTAAATGTCTGGAAAAGAATGAAGGCAACATATGTACAAATTCACCTGGTGCAAGCGATGTATGGATTGTAACAAGAGTTGTAAGAGTCCCCAATAAAATGATCTTTTAATAATAATAAAAAAGTAGTGAAAATTTCATCTCGCATTTGCTCGTTAACCAAAAATCAAACCAAAGCACAGCCATGTGGATTCCAACTCATAGCACAATAGGATAGGATAGCTCTTTATGGGTTCCAAGCCTGTAAATATTGACAGGAGCAGACAGCCTCATCTATAGCACTGGACAATCAGTTTGATATGTTCCTTAACTAGAATTCAGTATCATTCTTCTAGCCTCATGTTGTTATGGAAGGAAATCAGTCAACAAGTTTTAAATCACAAAGTACTCTCATGTGAGATACAGACACAGCAAGCCTGGCGGAATCCGGTGTCTAATGGAGAAATCACACCTTCTTGTGAGCTGGAAGCAAAAGTCTAGAAGTAGCCCTTCCCTCTTTGGCCACTCTTGAAACATCCTCACCAAACATAATTTTGAGGGTAGAGAGCGGGAAGAGATGGGGCCCAGGCCTAACTTGTGGATCACCTCAACTGCTTACCTTCCTTTGTGAACCACCTTTAGACGTTCACTCTCCTGGACAGGGAGGCCGTTTTTAGTCCACTTTCCTGAGATGTTCTCAGAGATCTCACACTTTAAGCAGATTTCTTTCCCAAGTTTCACAGTCTGATCAGTCAGAGGCGTCAATATCTTCAGAGGTCTCACTGTGGAAATAAGCCGTTGTGGCCGTTAGGTGCCATCTAGTCCTTTCCAGTTCATGGTCACCCGGTGTGTACAGAGTAGAACTGCACTGCACAAGAGGGTCAAAGTTATGACCCATTGGAAGCCGATCGCCAAGCCTTACTTCCAAGGTACCTCTGGGTGGGGTTGGCACACCAACCTCTCAGTTAGTAGTCCAGGGCTTAACCATTTGTGGCACCCAGGGCTCCTACTGAAATAAATAGACTATTACAAAGGCCAATCCCAAACTCCAGCCAGAATGGTGTCATTTCACAGTGGGGCAGGGAAAGTGTTCTGCTAGAATACTTGCTTTGAAAATTCATGTGTCCCAATACCCTTAGTTGATACCTTAGGGAACCATTTGAGGCATTGGATGTTTGTTTATGAGCGCTTTCATTCCTGAGGGAAACTAAGCAAATACTGAGACAGTTAGGAATGCATAAAACCCAAGGCATGTACACACCTCACACAGGTGCTAGCAACCTCAGTTCACAAGTGTGATTTCGGCCACACCCATCCGCATCGGAGGTAACAATTTTCTCATCGGATTCAAGTCATCCTCCTGCCGCCACATCACTATCATCAATGGTAGCCCTGCTGACACCCACTTTCACAAGCCAACTTCAAGGTCAAGTAATGTATCTCTGGCAGTATTTAGTGACTGTTTAAGGAGCCCTAGTAGTGCTATGGGTTAGGTGTTGTGCTGCTAGTTGCAAGGTTCAAACCCAATAGCCACTTTTCAGGAGGAAGAATAGGCTATCTGCTTCTAGGAAAGATTTACAAAGCTCCCAAGCCTACCAAAAATGAGTATGAATCACATTGCCCCTGTGGCGTTTCTGAGACTATAACTTTTTACCACAGGAGAAAGCCTCATCTTTCTCCCTCACAGTGGCTGGTGGTTTCGAACCCCTGACTTTGTGTTTAGTCGCCCAATGTTAATCTATTATGCCACGAGGGTCACTATGAGTGAGAATTGACTCGATAGCAAGAGGCTGGCTTGGCATAGAAGTCAGGATTGACTGTATGGCAGCAGGCTTGCTTTAGTGCAACGATTCCGCATGTTTTCCTCACATTCCTGAATTTCCCCCCTTTTCTTTTTAATTTAATGTGTTGTTGAAACAAAGTTTTGGAGGGTTGTACCTCAGCCCTGTTGTCCTCATACGCCCCGTGGTTTTTATTGCGTGGCTTTGCACACAGTGGTGAAATTCAGGAATGGATACGATACATCGCACCAGCACTGACAAGAATGACTTTAAATGGATGCAAATATTCCGTGTCTGTCAATGGCTGAACATGTTTTTGATATCACACTAAACTAACTTCAGTCCACAAAAGACAACGTGATTTGAGAGTGCTTCTGAATAATTCGGTGATCATATGAATTGTATTTAGGTAAAGAAAACAGTAAGAAATCAGCAGAATTTCTTCTCTGCTTGCTTCACCCTGATATTTTGAAAGTACCATAGGCTGCCAAAAGGGCAAACACATCTGTTTGGGAGGAAGTTCAACCAGCCATGGTCCTTCGAGGCAAGGATGGCGAGGCTTCGTCTCACAAATGTTGGACACGTTGTCAGGAGAGACCAGTCCCTGGAGATCATGCGGGGTAAACTAGAGGCACAGTTAAATAGTGAAAGAGCTCCAACAAGCTGGATTGTAGGGTTCAAGGATAAGAACAGTTGTGGGGGCGGCACAGGACCAGGCAGTGTTCTGTTCTGTTGTTCATAGGATTACCACGAGTCAAAATCGACCCCACAGCACCTAACAATGACAGCATGCATTCCTGATTATCCCAAGGCACGTACTAATGTGCCATAGCCAAACGGACAGACTGACATTGAGAACTGATTACTGCTGGAGACATTTGGAGAGGGACATTCAAGCCCTCACGTTTCTGAAGCCCCTAAACAGAGAAGCTCTTAAGAAGTTCTTTTAGACCGAAGCACCTTTGGTTTGAGTGCTTTCTTCTCAATCGAAACGTAATTGTAGAGTGTTGAATGTTTGTCTAACATATGAGTAATAAGTTTGCTTATGGATTCAGCCGGCAGTATCAGGATTTGACGTCATTCCAAGTATTCAATATTTATTCATATGGTGTTGGGATAAAATCTTCCATAATCATCTGGGTAACTTTTCTAGCAGGAGATTTACAAAAACACTTCCCAACGTTGGTGCCTGAGATAGTTAAAGTTTATTGTGCCAACCTGGCCAATAAACACATGTGGGGTTAATTGAAGGGCGGAGAGAAACAATGGCTCAGTGAGCCTCAACTTTCTAGTTCTTGGGTCTCTTGCTTTGTTATGGTTGGACCAGGGTGCAGCTGCCTTACCTAGTTCCCTGCTTCAGCTGGCAAGGCTCACTTCCTGCGAGACATCCCTAAGGAGAAGCCACATGGAACTACCCCAATGCAGCCCTGGGTGCTGGAGCAGCTGTGTGGAGACCTCTGCCAGCGCTGAGATGCTTACACGTTCACTGACTCGCCTTTCATCATGCAGTCGGCGTCATTGTATGTGTTTTTTAAGATGGAGGAGGACTTTGTGGATTGGTATCAGACATATGGGCTAATGTTGGACTTGTGGACTTGGGCAGCACTGGGTTGGGATGTTTTCTTGATGCGCACTTACCCTTTATATAAAACTCTCTCTTATACATATGGGTTTCTGTGGATTTGTTCCTCTAAAGTACCCAGACTTACCCAGTGCCCTTCTATGAAACTGCTGCGTTCCTTTCTTAGAGAACCCGATTGATCTGACATAGCAAACCAGCTAAAGGGGAATCTCATTTCACATCTTAAACTCACCACAAGTGGGAATCAAATGGATGGAAGCTTGCCTAAAACAGAATTAACAAACACTCCCAGAAGTAACAAGCACTCCAATTCTTGGCAAGCGCCACTTGAAGATATGCGGACGTCTTACGTACAGTCAACACTGAGTTTAGCAGATGACTGTCCTCCCGTTGTCATTACTGAGTATTCAGCTGTGTCGGCCTTTGTTGCTCCTTCTATGATCAAAATGTGCTTTTTGCCTTCAACTTTCACACGATACCTTGATTTGGGACCGAGGTAGATCTCTTCACCATTCTTAAACCTGGGTTAAACATGGAGTATAATCAAATGAAGTATAATCAATCAAATCTGATGAAAGAGCCATCAGATGTTTAGAACAGGCAAGCCCACGGAAATGGAAGTTTATTAGTTGCTTCTGGGGGCTGGAGGGAGGGACTTGGGGAAGTCTTGTTGAAGGGGTGCTAAGACGGGGGGTGGGGGGGAAGAGGTTTTATAACTCAACCATGCTGATGGCTGCACAGCATGGTGAATGCAATCCCTGTCATTAAATTGTAGCCTTAAAAAGGATCAAAATGGACGTTTTGGAGAAACATGCAAGTATATTCACAATTTTAAAAACTTAGAAAGATCATTCAGGAGACAGGCCTTCTTAATTGTTGTATTCCAGTGGCTCACAGAGTATGAGGCAAATTCCAGACACTCAAGAATTATTTGTTGAATTAAACAATCTATGGATGAGCCAACTCTCTATAAACGGTATTTTAACAAGTATGACCTTGTTACCGGAAACATTGTATTTAGAGAGGGCAAGTCACTTTTCTCTCGGAATCAGTCAGATGAAGCTGCCAAGAGTGGTCCTAAGCCACATGTTGGGCTCTTGGTCAGCAAGAGTAAGAAGGGCACCATTTCACACACTTTAAGGATAGTGACCCTTCCATGCCAGAATGGATAATCTAGTCTGTACAAAATGCTGTAGATTCCTATGGTTCCATTGATGATATAATTACTTTGTTGAAATGTTTCCCAACAAAGCAGTTTCATTTGAAGATTCTGATGGAATTTTGAGAAGACTCACAAAGAACCTGAGAAAATTCCCTCATATCCCCCACAAAAATCACATATATTGATATATCAAGAGAGAGAGAGAGAAGCCCATGAGAGTGGAGCTCAACAGAACTGCCTTGTTTTTCTGAATCTTGCAAGGTTTCTGTCTTTGACAGCGTGCAGTCTCAGCACTTTTCTTCCTATTGCTTGTTTTGATGGAAAAGATGGGAGTTTTCCTTCTCTGACAGGTTTCAACCTTAAACAGGTTTTACTGTATGCATATGCTTTTATTTTTAAGGGCCATCTGTGATTTTAAAGCTATAGTATTTCATTGAGGTCCTGCAACATTAAAGTGACTGGGAATTAAATGGGTGGAAAGCCTCATCTTTCTCCCTCACAGCAACTAATGGGTTGGAACCACTGACCTTATGGTTAGCAACTGATGTGTAACTCACTAGGCCACCAGAACTCTTTGAGAAGGACAGAGAGGTCAAAAGCACCCAAGGGCTTCAGCATCAAACAGACTTGGTTAGGCTTGAGTCATGACTTCGCTATATCTGCCTATTTTCCTATAACCTCCCCCATTTCTGGACCTTGTATTGGCATCACAGGATAAAAAAAGTAGTAACAAATCTGGTATCTTGGTATAGGTTTTATTATCATCTCCATGAAATACAATGAGATTGACATTCTTTTAAAAGTCATTTGAATCTCCTGTTCTATAAACTCAGAAAATAACCCCCCTTTTTTCATATACAAACTGGACACACTCCAGGATAGTTACTTACCATTTTACATTGGCATCGTCTTCAGACACCTCACATTCTAATTCCACTCTCTCCCCACAGTAAGTACTGGTGTTTTCCAGTTGTTTTGTCACCATAATTGGAGGCTCTAGTGAGAAGAAAAAAAGGGGAGGAAATCAGAATCATTGAATATTAAAGACCTGCTTCCTGCGTCCTGCTTTGTTCACCGGCACTAGGAAAGGATCATCTATCACAGAGCCTTGGTTTCCACAATAGTTAGTGGATTCTATGGTTTCCAAGGTAGAAGAGGGTAAATGGTTTTTTTTAAAGCCTGTGGTTGGCAAAATAAATAGCTGGCAAGTTAGGGGAAATGCTTCTAATTTACCAAGAGTAAGTAAACAATCATTGCAGAGATCAGACAAAAACAAATGTACCAAATACCTTTCTTCTGGCAAAGATACTAAGGGGTAGACATGCCTGATGACAGAGAACCTCTAATACAAGACTCTCTGAGTCTTATTCTACAGGAATAACAAGGACCTAGAATTGTCTCTGAGTAGAGGACCCCATTATCAGAAAAGTACAGGACACATGACTTAACTGAACCCTACGGCTCTTTCCAGCGTCTTTACCAGTGATGGGCTTCAGGATTCTCGATGCCAATCAAAGACGATGCCCTTTTACTACGGAAGCTTCCCGGGAAGCTCTGTGGTCAGCTGAGGGAGTGATAGGAGAGCACTCACTGAGCTGGCAGGTTTGAGAAGCTATCATTTCTCTTGCAAAATAGTGCTTGGCTAGTGTCAGAACCATTTTACCCTGCAGGCTTTTTCTCCCCTCGGTTTTGTCTAGTCTGTAACAAACTTGACTATTTAACCCCATAGTGTCTGCCAGTGTCAAGGATCTTCCCAAAAGAGGCAATCTAAGGCCCAACCGAAACCATTTCTAGAGGCAGAATTCCCTCTGCTCTGGAGCCAGAGCGGTCACCCGCTCGCTCTTGTTTTGATCGCTACCCCTGGAAGGGCAGTCCAATCTCAACTGTGGCAATGAGAGAACTGCACTTTACCTCTGACGAAGAGCTCAGTGGAGCATTTCTCATCGCCGGCGGTCACGTAATATTCCGAATCGTCTGTCAGTGCACAGTTATTGATAAACATGATGCGTTGGTTTCCTTTGTGCTCAAAAATGTATCTAGTTTAAACAGGAGAAAAAGAGACAGTCCATGAACTGGATTTCAACACACCCTCCCCTTTTTTTTTCTGGCCTGCAAATTAGGCTTTAAAAAAGTCCTGCTTGAAAGTCAGACAGAACATTTTAATACACCAATGAGGTGGCATACCTGAGAAGTCAAATGAACACAAAAATAAAATGTCATCATTATAATAATATAAGGAAACATAGTCACATCGATTATTTAATTTTTGTGACAGTTTCATATGAGGTTTTCACTTCGAATATAAGTCGATGTTCATGTTTTTGCTGCTTAATTGTTCATTGCCCAATCCAGGGATGCAACAGATGGTGTTGAGTGGACAAATTATGATATAACTTAGGCAACCGTCTGACCATAATCACTAACATAGTTCTATAAAGCATGATGCACTCTGCAATGAGAAGGACTACCATCACACCACGGCTATCGTCTATGTGTGTTTTTTTTTAAAGGACTTGAGCATTTAGAAAGAGAAAACTAGAAGCAAGAAGATTCCAAAATTCCATGATCATAACTTGGATTACAGATGAGCACACTAGGACATTTTAACGGACTAGAAGGCTAAGGGAGGACCGGGGAGTGGGAATTAGCTTTGGGGAAAGGAGGCTTCAGGAGCAAAGCATTAAATATCATTTTTAAGGAAATAGGTAACCAATCAGAATTACATTTTGGTCAACTCAGATGGTCTTCCAGAGCTGTTCATGAGGTATGAACATTATCATCACAAAGCCGCCCTGTAGGATCGGCCATATTAAGTAATTGGAAGCCATCTGATTATATTCCAGAAGGGGTGGATTTCCAGGATTAAAGTCTTTGAATAATGTGCATGTGGCTCCTGTTAATTTGAAACAAAACAAAACATTGGAGTTGAAAATCTCTCAGGCTGGGAAGGATCTCTTGCAAAGCAGTTTCATAACAGACTAGAGATTCCATCAGACAGGGGGATTATTTGGTCTCTCTCCTTGGGGAGCTGCGCCAGGCATTATGAAGCACAAGCTTAGACTCAGGTTCTAGTAGATCTCAACAATAAATGGGTCTATTAAATGGACTATTGTGAAACACTCACGATAAGGCCTTAACTGAGTATAAAAAGGTGCTCAGCCATTATTGTACATAGATGCCGTTCTGGAAAAACAAAAGCCAAGAATAAAAAGGTGTGATTTTCAGCTGATATATCAAATCTGTTTTTCAAAACGTTTAGTTTTAAGAGTGGGGAGACGTTTGGCCATGCTCTGAAATCACCACACGCAGTCTCTCCCTCTCACTGCCGCCGAGTCTATTCCAGTTCCTAGTAGGACGGCCCCCGTGGGTTTCTGAGTCTGTAACTCTTTACAGGAGTAGACAGCCTCCTCTTCCTCCTGTGTGGTTTTGAACTGCTGACCTTGTGGGTAGCAGCCCAATGTGCCACCACGGCTCCCACACACCCTAACAAAAAACAACACAAACTCACTGCCATCGAGTCAAAGACAGCTCACGGTGACCCTACAGGACGGGGTAGAATGGCCTGTGTGGGTTTCTGAGACTGTAACTCTTGACGGGAGAAGACGCCTCCTCTTTGTCCCCAGGACTGACTGCCCACCTTATGGTGAGCAGCCCACCACATAACCGCTCAGAGCGGCACACTGCCACAGACAGGCATCACCTGGAATACATAGTCTGTGTAGCACGAAAACATCAAATCAGCTTTCCTTTACCTCGCGCTATCATTTGGGAGATTCCAGAATATGAAGGCCTTCAAGATGTTCATGGGGGAAATTCCGTGATCCTTCATTCCATTTATCCACGAACTTTTTGAAGCCCCTTGTACATGGAAAGTGACTTCAGTTTTCACCCTCCCACTGTATGAATGTTCACCCTACAGCTCTACCTCTAACCTGTCCCTTTCTTAAAGGAAATGAAGTCGAACGACTGGTGTATGATTCTAAAGTCCACTTACTTTGTACTGGGTCGAATCTCTTGACCGTTTTTAAACCACTTCACCTCCAACTTCGGATCTGCCAGCTCCACCACAAACCTTACTTTCCCTCCTTTATCCACCTGATACGCAGGATCGAGGATTTTGGAAAAAGCTGGGAGAAACAACATCGACATTTGTATGTATGTGCACATATCGGATGAGTTGAAAATATCCTTCCACTCACCTGCCCTGCTAACCCCCCGCTTCTGCCTGACAGCCTTTCTATGCGTGACAACGTAAAAATAAATGGGGGAGGGGGAGGGGAAGAAACTCAAAGAATTTGGTGGGGGAGAAAGAGAGTGAGGGAGAATCTTCCACATTATCCTTTAGAGTTTAGAATTTTATTTATATATAAATAAATAAAGGGCTTAAAAAAGAAACCCAGAGAAGGCGCATACCATTGGAAGAAATGTCTGAAAAAAAATGAATGAAAAGGCTTTAAAAATGATTGCCCTGTTTTTCCAGCCACTTCCGGAAGCCCCCTTGAACAGGCAGGGGCTAGTTGTGCGGCGCTTCAGCAGACAGTCTTTTCACAAATCGAACTTTCTGTGGCACCCCGGCCTTTAGCTTGTCTACAGGTGCCATTATTCCAACAGCATGTGTACACTTTGTATGTGGGTCCTACTTTGGTAATTCTCACAGTATTTCAAAGTCTCCCCCCCCTCCCCTATAATATTCTACCAAAACTGCCAACGCACTACCATCATGTGATCCCAAGTCTTTTGATTGCAATTCAGTAATCCAACAGGATAGCGTAGAATTGTGCCCCAACCCCCACCCCCAGGCTTCCAAGGCTATAAAATCAATCTCTAAGGTAAGGTGACCAGACCTCCCGCTTTTGGCGGGACAGTCCCGATTTTTAACAATTTTTTCCCCACGTCCTGCAGCGTTTTTAAAAAGTCCCGAGTTTTGGAAAGAATGCACGATAAGCTAGGGTATACGGTTTTCGGCTGCCATGTGGCTATTTTGCCAGGATATGAGTTTTATCAATGGTGTCCCGCTTTACCAATGCTAAAATCTGGTCACCTTATAGTAACCCCAAATGCCACCCAGAGTCCCTAATCGTCTTGCCAGAGTCCTCAAACTTTTTAATGAGTGGGCCAGTTCACTGTCCCTCAGACCCCTCAGGGCCGGACTATAGTTAAAAAAAAAAAGAAACAAAACAACTATTAACAAATACCTATGCACACGGCACATATCTTATTTTGAAGTAAAAAAATCAGATGGGGCAAAAACAGCCGGAGGGCTGGATAAATGTCCTCAGCGGGCCGCACGTGGCCCTCGGGCCATAGTTTGAGAACGCCTGGCCGGTGTAACTTTCAGGAGCACTGGGAAACAAACAAAATATGGCGTGGCTTGCTTTGTTGAGACATTTGTTTCTGAAATGAAACCTGTGGTCTGCCACCTTCCAACAGTCAAGGGAGCTCCTGCGCTTCCAAGCAGCCCCAGACCAGGCCCCCCAGAGCTGGAGCATGGGCGGGGCGGTCGCGCTCACCTGCGCTCTTCTTCTCCACCCTGCGCATGCGCTTGAGCCGCTTGAGCATGCCGCGCAGGTCGGTGATGCCGTACTGGAAGGCGATCTTCTCGTACTCATTGGGATTCGCGTTCTTCAGCAGTTCCCACACGTCTATTTCGGGTTCTTCTTCCTGCTGCTTCACCTCCCTAACCGGGGACGAAGCATTGCCAGGTTTAGTAGCAGCATTGGCCTTGAAAAGAGGGACAGGGGGGCACGGTCCCAATTTTTCAGTTCAGGATTGAAAGCTTTGCTTCAAGGCCTGAGTACCTAAGAGCGAAGTGAAGTCCAGCTTTGCCCAAGGCTTGGGGAAACTTCCAAATGTAAAAAAGATCAAGTTATTTGCCTTTTTAGTAACACTTGTGTTTTTCCTAGTTCAAAATCATTTGGGGGTGAGGAGGTAATCAGGCATTTTCCTGAAAATACCCACTTCTACTTATTTTCAACTTGAAGTCTGATTAGAAGGTGGGATTTTGAGCATGCTAGCAGTTTATTTATAATATGGTTATTGAGTTCATTTGGAAAAGTGGATGAAGAACTTAAGGGCTTACATGGTTAAAAAGGTCTATGGGAGAAAAGGATCTCTTTCCTACCTTCCTTGATATGCACTGTATATTTGGGAATTTTACAAATCCAGCCTTTCAACCTATGGATTTTGAAAATAGCATTTTCCTACCATTGTGGTAACTAGGAACTATTTGTGCTGCTTACTAAAAAATAAATAAATAAATAAATAAATGAATAAACATTAGAAATCACCATGGTTTCATTCAGATGATATTTGTGGAGACAATTTTAAAAAAAGAATTGTTATTTTCTAAATTGTCAGGGGAGAAGGGGAATGAAACCATTAATTCTAGCCTATTTTGTATTAGAGAATGGCCTGGAATGTTTTTGGAAGCAGGTTGAAGTTAAATCATAAATAAACTAAAGTGACACTATGTAGTTATATGTCAATAAAACTCTTAAAACAGAAGTAAGGTAATATGAAACTGTAAAGCATATGGCTTAGGAGTCTACAAACAAAAGAGAAAAGTAACATTAGTGTACTCAGCAATGGGTATAAGGATGAAAATGATGGTTCCTGATTTGGACCCCCAACCGGAGAGGATACGGAACTTGAAGAATTAAACTTCATGTGTCTGCCCTTATTCTGAAGCTACAAATGAAACCCAAATGCAGGAATAAATAATTCCCAGTAAAAAGTTTTAGTGTAAACACATAAGATATCATTTAAATTGATCTCCTTCGCTGGCTAGATGTTCTTGCTGTTACTTACTTAGTTGGATATGTTTCTCGGGTTACTCTGGATGTTCGACAGGGAACTACTTACTGTGAGCATTGCTGGTATAGTTACGATTCTTCAGGAAAACTGAGCAAACCATCTGACCTACATTGATGTGAAAATAGTCACGTGATCCAGCTAGGTGGTGTATCATCTCAAAGACACATTCCTTCCACCTGTTTCAGAGTTTCTTTATGGCCACATGCACTTTGAAACGGAAATACTGGATTGTAATCCAGGGTAAACGACAGGGCAGGAAGAGCATATAAATTCTTAATATGGAGTTGGTGTTGGCGACAGTGACTTCTAAAGATTGAATTTCTATTTGACATTGTCATGTAAATTGAGGCTCTGTGCCCAATTCTGGAGAACACTGGGACAAATCTGGACAATGAGAGGCTGTGAGAAGTCATTGGCCCATTTGGAACCTGGGAAAGGCCTAGGGAACACAGGCAAGAAAACGTTCCTCTTAAAAACTCCAGCCGCAGGCATTGTCTCCATCTCACGGAAATGATCATTGCACCCTCTAGACTTCTAATGGAGAGATTGGAAAGCATAAGTTGTCCTGACATTGGAATTTGAGGGTGAGGTCAAATCTCTGACCTGTAGCATGTGTTTAAATCATCCGGAATATATCTTTCCTTACCACGGTGGCTTCACATGAACCCTGTCTGCATTGCTATGCTAAGCCATTAAATAAAAAAACAAGCTTACTGCCATGGAGTCAGTTCCGACTCATAGAACAGGATGGAACTAACTGCTGCTGTGAGTTTCTGAGTCTATAACTCTCTACAAGTGTAAAAAGCCCTGTCTTTCTTCCATGGAGTGACTGGTGGCTTTGAACTGTTGACCTCGTGGTTAACAGTCCAACATGTAACCACTACGCCAATGGGGCTCCATGCTAAGCAACAGTGAGGAGAAAAATCCAGTTGCAGTAAAGGCACCCCCAGTTCCTTTCCAATCACTGGGGTAGACCTATATAATGCCAACAGTACTTTCATTTACATAAAAATTTCTGTAACTTCATGATCCCGTTGAAGTACAAAGGTGTTACAGAAATTTTATGTAGAATAAAACTTTCAAATATTTATATAGGTCAAATTTTCAAACAAGGTCCTGCCCAAAAGATTTACTCTGGTTTCACAGATGGTTGTTTGAAACAAGCTGGCTTTGTTGAGGGTAGGAAGATCTTTTGGTGTATCCAATGTTGGTCAGAATGATGCTTATTCTGACGGGGATTTGGTCACACGATTCTAACCCTCAAACTCACCGCCATCAAGTTGAGTGCGACTCACATATAGGACAGAGTAGAACTGTCTCAGGATTTCTGATACTTTTAACTCTTTATGGGAGCAGCAAGCCTCCTCTTTCTCCCATGGAGGGACTGGTGGTTTTGAACTGCTAACCTTGTGGTTGGCAGGCCAATTTGTAACCCACCAGGCCACCAGGGATCCTTCACACACTCTTGGAGGAGGTAGAAATGGTGACCTCAGATCATTACGACACTGGAAACACATGCAATCTGCAAATTGGTAGGAAAACAATGATTTCTAAAAGTTGTGCCAGTGGATTAGTCTATTAAATAAACACAGTCATATATTAACAACACCTTAAATATGAATCAGAATCATAGTTGGGGATGTGAAGAAAATGAAAACTGGGGTCACGCTAGGCTGCTACCCATTTTTAAAAAGTGATTTATTTATTTTTCGTTGTTTTAATCATATAGATTTCTTACACTATGAAAATTACCAAATTACTGGTAGGCCTAGTCTGCTTTTTATTTCCGTTTCCTTCTTAGTCAGACCATGACAATCATCTATTCTCACTTAAAAAAAAAGTGTGTGTGTGTGTGTGTGTGAGAGAGAGAGAGAGAGAGATCTGACAATATACACTCTTTCAGGGAAAATCTAACATTTCTAATGATGGAAGTGGAGGTGAATATTTATTTGATTCCTACTATATGGTCCATACAGAATTAATTTTATTTTCACAATAACTCTCTAGTTTTTATTCACCCTTTCTACAGATGTGCAAACTAAGTCTCAGAGAGGACAATACTTCATTATTTAGTGGCGCATACAATATTGGTGTATTTTTAAATCAATGGTGCCTTAGGTTTGATGAAACACTATAAATAGAAATAATATATTAGAGCCATTCTCCCTTATAAATGCCATATATCTATGTCTATATCTTATATACCTGCAGATACTTTTAGCAAAGCTCTGCTATTGATTTTTTAGTAAAATAAACATATCAAAAGCAGGAGAATACCGCCTGTATTCAGTTCTAAGAAGGAAACATGTATAAAGCTTTAGAGCTTTCTGTGTGTATGTATTGTCCCAGTTCTCGAATCTTCTCCATCCCCAGCTAAGAAGACATGTGAACACTTGCAGACATTGGAAATGGAAGCTGAAAAGCACCGGCGAACATTCTAAATGCAGATTAGTAGGCAGTTGCTTGCTCTCTTCCTTAGTTGACTCTGTTATATTCTATAAGCAAGACACATTTTCAGGTGGGAAAAATTCCTTGGAAGACGTCCACTTTAAACTTGACTTCTCTGTGTGGGCATCTAAGAGGTTTCCAGGCCACAGCGCCTCAGTCCATCACTTGATTCTCACCTATGTTTCAGGAGACCACTAAAGTCAAGTTCCCCTGCATCCTCTTGACCTTCACCACTGTCATTAACAAAAGAAAAGCAAATTGGGGTTTAATGCTGAGACACATACACAACCATTTCCCCCAAACACTACAGGTAACAAATATGCAATTTTGTACCAGCACGTAAGCCATGGAACAAAATCAACACAAACAGTTTCTTTCCACACAAGTGACATCTGAAGTTTTTTGGCATATGTACTTGTGGAAAAGTTGACCAAGGGGGCCTTGTGTTAGTCGACGATTTTGGAGGACACAATGTATATAGATTGTGTATAGAAAACTGCTTGGATTTGTGTTCAAACCGAGCAACACAAATGCACTTATGCCAAGCAACACAAAGTACTTTGTTTTTGCAAGTTGGGGGCTCTGGGGACATACCTCTGTAAAAATCAAAGGACTTTTGCTGATCTCTGTAATTCAGGTGAGACAGAGATTGGCTTGGTTCTGCCTTACAGGACAAAGCGTACCATTGTCAAATATATAAGTGCAAAGCCTTATATTCCAAAGGTAACCTCTTTGTGTCCGGCAGTTGATGAATCAGAGCTGTGATGCCAACATAACATAAAGTGGCGCTGGCACCGAGCTTTGTAAGAGATGCATTCCTTTCTGTTTTAAAGGTACAAATCCTTCTGATCTTTTCATGAAACCTTTTTGTTTTTTTTAGTTTGTTTTAGGACTATTCATGAATCCTTTATTGGCCATTTTCCAAAGGGGTTTTCTATGGAGAAATGCATCTTAAAATAGGCATGCAGCCACCTTCGGGATTTCATGGAAACTTTCAACAGAAGCTATAGAGCTGACATTTAGATGACACTGCGTATTTACTTACATGTTTAATTTTTTTGAATGAAGATTTTGTTTCCTGCTCTTTATAAATGTTAGTATGGTTTCTAAGAAAAGAGTCCGTGGGTTTAAAAACAGTGTGCATGACACATACGTTATCAGGCTGGAACTTAAATCAGGCTTTCAAAATGTCATTACTAGCAGGTATTGGGAGAAGACCCATCTCTCCTAAAACAGACTTGCATGTGGAGGGAACGCAGCCTTAGCGTCAGGTGTTTGCTGAGTGTGGAGTGAAAGAAAGGTGGAAGGAAAGAAATGGGATTTACTCATTTTAAAAACCAATGGGCTGGCCAGTTAGTATTAGATAACTTTCTTTTTTAAATCATTAAGATTTTGAGATATTCACAATTTCTAGAGGGAAATGAACCTTGTGTCAACAGACCAAAGCAAATGTTTTCATTTGATTTTCTCTCTTTAACAAAACCTGATATGGAATCAATCTTCAGAAGAACAGGAACATTAAATAATTCATAATATGGAAGACTGAAATATGGGAAAATATGGTAGTAAGATAATGAAAAATCAGGGGTATTTACATTTCTTTCAAACCGGTTATTTTCCCCCCCATTTTTATTCTTTGACCCTTGTTGTTCGGCCTTAGCAGGTGTAGGATAAACCCAGTAGACATCTATATCCTGCCTTTCTACCGTGTTCCTTGTTTCTACTCAGTGGTCTTTCCTGTAGAATTGGCCACTGTTTGGGGGGGAGCTTATGTCCATAAGAAGCCAGGTGATACAGATAGGAACTGGAAACACAGGGAATCCAGGACAGATGATCCCTTCAGGACTAGTGGTGAGAGTGGTGATAATGGGAGGGTGGAGGGAGGGTGGGTGGAAAGGGGGAACCAATTACAAGGATCTACATATAACCACCTCCCTGGGGGGCAGACAACAGAAAAGTGGGTGAAGGGAGTTGTCGGACAGTGTAAAACATGACAAAATAATAATAATTTATAAATTATCAAGGGTTCATGAGGGAGGGGGAAAAATGAGGAACTGATGCCAAGGACTTAAGTGGAGAGCAAATGTTTTGAGAATGACGAGGGCAACGAATGTACAAATATGCTTTACACAATTGATGTATGTATGGATTGTGATAAGAATTGTATGATCCCCCAATAACATGATTTTTTTTAAAAAGAAGAAGAAGCTAGTTGATTGTTGTTTTTCTGGCTACAAGATGTAATAACTCCTTAAGTGATTTCTCCATGCAGAGCAACATGAATAAAGATTTTCTGACTTAACTGATGTCATACAAAGTGTGTCCCTTGATATAGTTTTGCCATTAGATCAAAAATAATGCAATTAGAGAACAAGCTGCATAAGAATAGACTCACGTTACATCTTTATTTTTCAAAAATGATCACTGTGTTGTTGATTGGCATGAGATACACGGGCACATGGTTTTGTTTGACGATAGGGAAAATGATTGCGATTTGGAGTGTGGAGGAAGGGGAAGCTACCTAGATGCCCCCTTTTGAAGTTACCTTCTCTTGAAAGCAGATCTGATGTCAATGTTTGGAGTTGTCCCAGTGGATTCTTGGAAAGGAAAGAAAACAAATAGCCATTAAGAAGGCAGCTTTAGGTTTAGCTCGTGGGCTGTGGGGCTCTCTCAGATGAAGAGGGGAGGGGTGGCTTGCCTCTGTGGCTGGGCTGCTGCAGCATGGGAACGCCCCGCCTCACACAGAATCCGTGAATGAGAGGTTATCCAGTCTACCTGCACCCACCAGAACTGCCCGGGGAACTTCAACAAATATCCTGCTGCCTTATTCTCCCTGTTGGGGATTTTGATTCTCACAGACATCATTTGGATGGGCACCCAGGAATCAGTATTTTTAGAAGTCCTCCCGGTGATATTTAGAGAAGCCCGGTCAAGTTAAAGAACAGCTGCTCAAGGTCAGATTCCCACTGAATGGAGAAATCTTAACAGTACCTTGTCCTTGACCCATGATCGTCAAACCTTTGCTTGACATCTCCAGGAAGGGGTGAAGGCAGGGGAGGAAGCGGGCAGGAATCTCTAACCTTCCCAATCATCCACATAGCCTTAGCGAAAGAGCTCTTCCTATTGCTAAGACAAAATGTGCCTTCTCATCATCCCCCCCTTTTGATTCTCATGCCCCCTAAACTTCTAGAAAAATGGGGAAGTCCTTTCCCCTCTACTGTGTGACCGCTTTTCTGCTACTTGTCAGGGTCCCCGTGTGCCTGGCTGTGGCTCCAGCTCAATAAGACATGCTTTCTGGCCTCTGCCTCCTCCCATTCCCTGGACTCAGAAGCAACTCAGGCTGAGGTATGATTCCCAGGACCAAAAGCCATCACCCCAAATGTGGAACAAGTGGCATGTTGCAGTGAGGGGTATCATTTCCTCTATCTAGAAATAACACCACTTGTTCTAGCTCAGTGTAAGATTACAATAGCTTCGTCTTTGCAGCTGTACTGCACTTTGAATATTGTGATTGAGGCGAAGGGTTACAGCTGCTCACCAGTCTTACATCCCACAAGTCAGACGCATTCTGTTTCAACTCATCCATTGCAAACGCTTCCCTGTACCATCCTGGATTCATCATTACTGCCCAGTCAACACTCCCTTTGTATTCTTATGCATTTCAAATGAAATGCACGGCACTCTGTTTATCCCTATTGAATGTCCTCTGGGAAGCATATAGGTCGAATGGATGGAGCACTTCCACTCCCGACATTAGTCCTGAGAGGAATTCTCCCTGCCCCCTGGGTCTCCTGGCGTCCTTATCCCACATCACCTTATCCTCAGTCTGAGTGAAATATGAGGGCCCAATGCAACAGGTACTCAGTCCGTGGTCACAACAACCTCAAAAAATGACATTCCTTCATTGGGAGATTGAAGATAGCATTGACCAGAAGTACTTATCAATTCATTCCCTCAGCTCCATTTTGACATTATCCCATGACAAATTCATTCAACTGGCTTGTTGATACCGCCACAATCAAAAACACACAATTTTTAAAGGATCCTCTTGACCCCCCGCCCCAAATATAATTTCATGGTTTAAGATTACCTTCTTCTCCATCCTCTCAGAACTCCTAAAAAAATTATATTACAAGAGGCAAAGCGAGTGTTCTTACCGTGCACTTCAAGATCGAATGTACAGCTGTCAAACTTGTCCTTGTAGGTGACCTCGCATCTGTAGTTCCCTGCATAGTTCTCTTTGGCCTTAATGATCTGCATCTCAAACGTGTACACCTGCAATGAAATGCACACGCGCACGTTTCGCATCCACCTTGTACACGGAAAGATGTCACCTTGTTGCAACAATGATTCCTTTCACATTCCTCAGCTCTGGCTTCCAGATGCGAGTGTTTAGACAGGGCAGGGCATCTAACTCAGTAGAGGAGATAGAGCCCCCGGGCACAGCAGAGTGTAGAGATTAGGAAAGATTGTCTGGGGCTGAATCTCTCAAAGGTGAACCTGAAACTGACCTACCTTCATGCCCATACAGAGAGAAAGAGCAAGCTCAGCCCCAGGGTTTGGGAGTTCAGGGCCATACCCGATTATGCCTTTCAAAGGTTTCCTTCAGCTGCAGGTGTTTGCCAGCTTTGCTGGCCAGGTCCATCCATTTCCCCTTGAACCATTTCACAGTGGGCTTTCGAAGAAGATCCTCAGCCTTCACTTTGGCAATGAAGGTAATATTCTCTCCTAGAAAAAGCACACAGGATGCAGACCGGTTTCACATTTGCCGTTGGTTGTGCTCTCACCTGGACAGACGTTGTGCAGGGTGGCGCTGCCTGGACTATGATGTGCTTGGTGTCCCCCTGTTGTGCAGTGAAGCGATCCTGATTTTTAAAACGATGAAAGCATGCTAGAGGCTCTTAGGATCACCTGATCTGTTCTGCTTGTGAGGTTTAGGGAGCAGAAAAAGAGCAAGGGAGAGATCAACGGACATCATTTTTAGGCTTGGATTAAAACACAGGTATTTTATATCTAAGAAACCATGGTGGCACAATGGTCAGAGTGTTCGGCTGCTCATCAGAAGGCTGGTGGTTTGAATCCACCAGTCACTTCTTGGGTGCACAATGTGG